CTTACTCCCGGCAATGCAGACTAGGCTCTGACACCGGTCATACAGGGACCTAACAGCCCGTATCAAAGGGCCCGGTACCCCATACTCTCAGAGTACCCCCCGCAGGGTTCCCCGAGGGAAGCGGTCGAACGCCTTCTCCAAATCCACAAAGCACATGTAGACCGTTACAACCAGGACGAAAACCGCACTGCTCCTCCTGAATCCGAGGTTCGACTATCCGACGGACCCTTCTCTCAAGAACCCCCGAATAGACCTTACCAGGGAGGCTTAAGAGCGTGATCCCCCTGTAGTTGGACCACACTCTACGATCCCCCTTTTCAAATAGGGGGACCACCACCCCAGTCTGCCAATCCAGGGGAACTTCCCCCGATGTCCACGCAATGTTGCAGAGTCATGTAAGCCAGCACAACCCTACAACATCCAGATCCTTAAGGAACTCCGGGCGAAGCTCATCCACCCCTGGGGCTCTGCTAGCGAGGAGCTTTTTAACCACCTCGGTGACCTCAGCACCAGAGATTGGAGGGCCCGACCCAGAGTCCCCAGGCTCCGCTTCCTCAGTGAAAGGCGTGCCGGTGGGATTGAGGAGGTCTTCAAAGTATTCTGCCCACCGACCCACGACATCCCGAGTTGAGGTCAGCAGCACACCACCCCCACTATAAACAGTGTTGGTGGTGTACCACTTTCCCCCCCGAGACGCCGGATGGTGGACCAGAATCTCCTCGAAGCCGTGCGGAAGTCATTCTCCATGGCCTCTCCGAACTCCTCCCATGCCCGGTTTTTGCCTCAGCAACCACCCGAGCCACATGTCACTTGGACTGCCGTTACCCATCAGCTGCTTCTGGGGTCCCACAGGTCAAAAAGGCCCGATAGGACTCCTTCTTCAGCCTGACAGCATCCCTCATTGACGGTGTCCACCACCGGGTTCGAGGGTTGCCGCCGTGACAGGCATGACAACCTTGCAGCCGCAGCTCTGGTAAGCCGCCTCGACAATAGAGGCACGGAACATGGCCCACTCAGACTCAATGTCCCCCACCTCCCCCGGAACGTGTTCGAAGTTCTCCCGCAGGTGGGAGTTAAAGCGCCGTCTCACAGGAGACTCTACCAGACTTTCCCAGCAAACCCTAACAATATGTTTGGGTCTGCCAGGTCTGACCGGCATCCTCCCCCACCATCGGAGCCAACTCACCACCAGGTAGTGATCAGTGGATAGCTCCGCCCCTCTCTTCACCCGAGTGTCCAAGACATGTGGCCGCAGATCAGATGAGACGACGATAAAGTTGATCATCAAACTGCGGCCTAGGGTGTCCTGGTGCCAAGAGCACATATGGACACCCTTATGCTTGAACATGGTGTTCGTTAAGGACAATCCATGACGAGCACAGAAGTCCAACAACAGAACACCACTCGAGTTCAGATCAGGGAGGCAGTTCCTCCCAACCACACCCCTTCAGGTCTAACTGTCATTGCCCACGTGAGCATTGAAGTCCCCCAGCAGAACAAGGGAGTCCCCAGGAGGTGCACTTTCCAGTATCCCCTCCAAGAACTCCAAAAAGGGTGGATAATCTGAACTGCCGTTTGGTGCATAAGCACAAACGACAGTCAGAACCCGTCCCCCCACACGTAGGCCGAGGGAGGCCACCCTCTCATTCACCGGGGTGAACCTCAACACACAGGCACAAAGATGGGGGGCAATAAGTATGCCCACTCCTGCTCGGCGCCTCTCACCAGGGGCAACTCCAGAGTGGAAGAGTGTCCAACCCCTCTCAAGGAAACTGGTTCCAGAGCCAGAGCCAAGCGTAGAGGTGAGTCCGACTATTTCTAGCCGGAACCTCTCAACCTCACACACCAGCTCAGGCTCCTTCCCCACCAGTGAGGTGACATTCCACGTCCCGATAGTCAGCTTCTGTAGCCGAAGATCAGACCACCAGAGTCCCCGCCCTCGGCCACCACCCATCCCACATTGCACCCGACCCCTTTGGCCCCTCCCACAGGTGGTGAGCTCATGGGAAGTCTAATGAGACTAATCAGAGCTTTATCACATTCATACAGTGATGGGACACACGTCAGAGGCTATGAGGGGTTCAGTGTCTTGCCCAGGGACACTTCGACATGTGACTGCTGGTGGATTCAAAACCCCAACTCTCGCATTGGAGGATGACTGCTCTAACCACTCAGCCACGGCCGCCCCCTAGCAGATTTAGTAGAGTGCTGTATGAATGGGTAAATGAGGCACAGATTGTGATGTAAAGCGCTTTGAGTATCTTGATCAGATAGAAAGGAGCTATATAAGTGCAGTCCATTTACCATTTACATATTATTGTCCCATATGGAGGCATAAGACTCTTTTGTATTTTTTTTTATTTGTTGTTATTTTGCTACTTTAAGCAAAAATTTTACTACTTTTGTGCTTTTAGCTAGTGTTTTAACTAGACTTTAGCTGTTTTTAATTTCTAGCTACTGTTGGCACTTTTAGCTTGTAGCTGAATTTAGCTAATTTTAACAAGACTTTTACTCTCTAGCAGTGGTGTGCACAGCTAATACGTTAACAGTGGAGCAATTTTTTTTTGTTTAGCAGATTAGCGTTTTTTCTGACTTTGAAAACCGTTGGCGGAATTAGCTTCCGCTAAATTAGGTTTTGTCAACTTTAAGTCCACCTACAAAATTCACAAGCTTGTTCCTGACTGTTGTGGGCGTGTCTCGAAGAGTCGGTTAAGCCTCCAGTATACTGCCGCGTACATCCATACGCAGAGGTACGAGCGTACCCCCCAGGGCATGTCCGTGCAAAGCTCAAATTTTTACGACCGCATACGCGATCCTGGTGTCGCACAATAAACTGCCCAGCGACGGACTGTTTTGAATTTGACACCAATGTATTAAATTCCCCTTCTTCATCTCTGATCTGGCCTTTTATTTTGTTTTTTTGCTAAGAGGCAAGTGATCTCTTCCTCCTCCGTTTATGTCATGACTGAAATGGTGAGAAATGAAGGAACTTGTCACGAGCGAATTAAACTCAGGTCCAACATGGCTGCGGGAGGGTCTGGAGATTTCCTGGTGGGCTGGTCTGATGTGTGGGCTGTAGAGCCAGCGCTCCCTGTTTTTTTTTTATTTTTTAGATCTTTTTATTAACAACATATAAACACAGAACACCGCTGTGGCTGAGGCTGCCAGCGCTCGTTTTTTCCCCCCCTGACCTGTCAATCAAGCCAGTAGGCGTGTCAGCAAATGACCAATCGGCGACCTTAATTTGTCCCGTAGGTAAACGCCCCTTGTCTGTGAAGCTGCTCTGCAGCTGCTCAGGGTGTACGATGGAGTTTAATGACTGAACCCTCTGCGTACAATACACGTGTACGTACGCGTGAACGGACGTACGCGGCAGTATACTGGAGGCTTTAGGCATACTATTGGCTGACTACGTGTATGCGGGACAAGACGATTGGTCGACGCAGCTTCAACTGGAAGGAGACGAAGGAGTGCGACGCAGACTGAGTGAAGATCGTCTTAGCGGTTAGCTGTTTAGCGTTAGCTTCTGCTAATTTTTTTTTAACCGGTTTTGTGATTTAGCATTAGTGAAGCTAATTTTTTTTACTTAGCAGAATATTTACACATCATATGGGTTAACGAAACTAATTATTTGGTTAGCTGTGCCATCACTGCTTCTCAGCTACTGTTGATGAGATTTTAGTTTAGTGAAGGAATGTGCTTCTTTACCAGAATAGATCAATTTACAGCAAACTGCAATGAATTTTACCTTTAGTTAATGATGCCTGTGCAATATCATAGGAAACTTACTACTCTTCTTACATCTAACAAGGTTTAGTCAGGTCCTCTGGACGGATTCTTCTTTGATGAAACACTGTCTTTTATCCAACAGACTTTTTTGGTCTGACTGAAGAAAAAGAAGAAGTCTTATGGATAAAATACGAAACGTTTCAACAAAGAATCTGCTCAGAGGACCTGACTCAACCTTAGACTCACTGAGCATGCATCAGGATACTCGTCTCACAGCTTTTAAATAAATCACATAAATTATACACCAAAATGTGTGGGTTCATTAGGAATAATGTGTTGAAAGTTTTGTTAGTGGTACAACATAATGTATACAAAACTTACAAAAAACTGATAGAAAGAAAAACAAAGATCATTGAGGTTTTGGTGAAACACATGAGAAAACCTAGCAGCTTAGGGATCTATAGCTTGGACATTATTCACAACAGAAACATCATTTGAAGTATAAATGGACCTCAGAAACTTGGACTTTGCATGTTTGAACTGGTATTTTGATACATTTGAAAGTTTTACACAATCCCAGTTTAGGGTTTATATTTTTTAGACTTTTCAACAAATGTTCAAATTGCATTTGATGATGTCACACATTGAGTTTGAGCCATCTAAAAAATGTGAATCCTATTAATCTCCTCTTACTGAGACAATTCTTTTTGTTAGATAAACAAATTCTGTCTTCTTTTACCAAGTTTGCTTCTCGCTGCTATAGGACTTATGGTTTTCTCTCAGAACCCTCCAGAATGCACACTGGAACTTCTTCGACACACTCAGTTATAATTTAGCCTAAAATTTTCTACTCAAAACTAGAAGTAATTTTTTTTTTACTTGTCATATCTTCTACATAAAACACTGTAGAAATAAAAATGTAGACCTGACTTGTTATTTTTACACAGCAACTTATTGAGGCTTATTTTTTCAGTCTGTTTCTGTCTGCCTCATTAACTGGGCAGTCAAGCAGCGACGGACACAGGTGTGTGGTTACTACGGTGACCATAACGAGCCACTGGCATCCTTCAGAATTTCTTCAGAAATGTTAAAGCTTTGATAAAAACCACCACTCTAATGACAGGACTAAAGACTGTTGCTCCTGCCGTCTCGTTTTGAAGCAGTCATCTGCTGGAAAGTTGTATGGGGAAAAACAGCATGAGTGGGTCTATTTACCGTTTTCAGTAAAACTGCCCAGTCATTTTAGTTGAGATACTGGACTGTGTGCTCACCTTGCTGCGGAGCTCGTCCTCCATGGAAAAATAAACAAAACGGATACAAGCGGTCACAAGGGCATCAATAAGACGGACTGTGTCCAGCCTCGCCTGGAACTGAGACGACACCATGCCCATGAAGATCTGTCCGCTCAGGGCCTGGACGCAGTCCTCCCGCTCCACACCTTCACCTATTCCCTCTGCAGACAAGACGGGAGCAGACAGGGACGAGCTACAGCAGCTCTATTTTCTTACTGTACAGTAACACTTTAGCCATCTGTCAGTCACTCCTCACCATCCGAGCTCCAGCTGTTCCTGCAGATGTTGTGTTTGATGGGGGTGGTGGAGGGCAGCTCAACACCAGAGAAGAGGCAGGGGCCGGGGGCGAGCTCCACACACTTTCCATTCAGCTGACTGGACAACGACACTTGCATAGGTTTGTATGAAAAGGCTGAGCAGTAACCTGACAGACAGGCACGCTGGTAGAAGTCCAAAACTTTCTTCCTGTCAAACAAACAGAAGGACAAATATGAAAAGACTAAATACCAACATTTGAAATTATGACGCCTTAAAAAGTGTTTGGTGTTGTAGTTATGAGCGATTAGTATCTTTGAATGACCTCCGTTTGAAAAACAAGTTAAATCTGACCAGACTGATGAGGTAACAGCTGGTCTGAGCCAGGCCAAACTCAAAATGGATTACTGCCATCTTAACCCCCCCCCAGAAATTTCATTTTGATCTCGTGAACTGAGTGTGTTGTTTTGCTTTGTTAAAACTGCCTTTCTCTGAAGCTAAACATTGTTTCCATGAAGTAACAGAAACCAGACCTGTCTGAGCCTGAAAGAGGGTAGATATCAGTTCCATCCCAGAAGTCAGAACAGGCCTCGAGGATAAGTTCAGCTGAACCGTGCGACAGCATCTGGACGTTATCTGCAACAGCGTGAGGAAAGTTAACAAGAGATGCAACAAAAAACACTTTCCAAGGCTTACTTATAAACACAGATGGACCCATACAACAAACTGAGTTTTTTTTCTTAATCGTTTTTTTTTTTTTTTATTAAAACACCTAAACATCTCGGAAAACATCTGAAAAAGGATGCAGGACTCACTGGAGGATGAATCTCGCACGCACAGAGAGAGGAGGTGGGAGATGGGGGGCTGGCGTTTGATGAAGTAGAGAAGGTGGCGAGAAGTTAACTCCTTGGTCTTCTCTCCAGACGGCAGCTGGTACAGAGCCAAGTAGGTCTCCTGCTTAAACAGCTCCCTCGCTCCAGGAGTGAACCCTTACACAGACAAGGAAATGAGAAGTTGCCGTCAAACAGATTTTAACAAGGTGTTATTTGTTTAACACTCCACAAAATGACCTTTTAAAAGGCTACTTGTTGGATCAGTTTTATTACAAGCTTGAGGGAAGTGTAATATAACAATACCTCTTAATGAGGATTTGACGACATCGGTAGCATGATGGTACCATCTGTATCTCTCAGTGAACATTTAGAGAATTTACAGCACACTTTACAATCTGGCAGATTTGACAGAAACCAAAATTTTTTTTTGAAAAAATAAATTAATTAATTCAACCAATATTTCTACATGTTAGTCTCACTGAGTCACGAGGACTCATTTACAAGAGAGACCTGTTTCAGACAAACAACAAATAAGGTACACACAGCGATAAACAGCCATAGAATGCATATAAAATAAAAAGTAAATAAAAGTAGTGATATAAAATGAAATAAAAACAAGCTACATTATGAAATGAGGCAAAATACTAAAAACAGGGACATGTCTACATTAATTGTTGCATTAAACTTAATAATTGTTTAAAATCCCTGAGAGGTCAAAGTCAAGAGCTTCAGATCTTTTTGTAAGATATTCCAGGAAACAGGAGCGGAGTAGGAGAAGGCCCTTTTGCCTAGTTCAGTCCTCACTGAGGGAACACTGCAGGTAATAATGTCCTGAGAGTGCATGCTGTAGCTGCACTCACACAGAGACATGTAGGAGGAGATGTATGAAGGCAGCAGACCAAGAAGTGATTTAAAGATGTAAATGTACCAGTGGGAGAGTCTGTGTGAAGTTAATGATGTCCAGTTAACCAGTGAATACTGGGTGCAGTGGTGGGTATGATAATCACAGCCAGTTATGAATCTTAGTGCACCATGATAGACAGCATCCAACATCTGCAGCATCCAACATCTGCAGGGAGCCAGCAGGAGCATTCATATAAATAATGTCACCATAGTCAAAGGCTGGTAGCAGGTACAAGGCATTTTCTGGCATTCAGAGTTAAGCAAGATCTATTTCTGAAAAAGAAACCCAGTTTTAAATTCAGTTTCTTTATCAAGTTTTAGACATGCAGCTTAAAACAGAGATGTGCATTAACCAGGATTCCCAAATATTTGTAAGAATCCACAAACTCAATAGGAACAGCATTCTGTAGAGGCAGGGCAGCCGGCTTGGGACCCGAGAGTCCCAGGTTCGATCCCCAGTCACTGCACATCACGTGGCGTCTCTGGGCAGCACGTCTAATCCCCAAAATGTCCCCCGGGCGCTTTCAATAGCTGCCCACTGCACCACCTGGTGGTGGATGGGTTAAATGCAGAGACTAATTTCGCCATTGTATGGAAACATACAGTGCTGACATTGTGATGACATTATTATTATTATTATTATTCATAGAAAAGATAGGAGGAAGGACTGCTGGTACAGACTTCCTGTTTGAAAACAATACCTGTGTCCTGATGCATGCTCAATAATCCAGGTAGAAAAATCCCAAAAAATTCAATCTGGTCCTCTGGACATTTAAAAAAAAAACAAAAAAAAAAAACACAAAGCAAAAAAATATAGAAACGTTTCGTCTCTCATCCGAGAGACTTCCTCAGTCTGAGGTGCTGTATTCAGCTCAGTCTCTTAAATAGCACCTTCTCAGAGTGGATCAACCAGTTTTGCTGCTGACAACCAAAACCAGCTGATCACATGCTCAAGAAGGACCATCAGCCTAACAATGGATCATTAGCACACTGATGGCTGTTTACTGTTCACAGAGGGCTGAGTGATACTAGCAATCACAGCATTGTAAGAGGGGGACAGTTGAACCCGGAGGCCTCCACCCCTGTTTAATGATGGACGATTTCTTTTCACAAAGATGGCCTCCTTTACTCCTCTCTCAAACCATCGTTGCTCTCTGTCCAGGATGTGAACATCTTCATCCCTGAAAGAGTGACCGCTGGCCTGGAGATGAGTGTAGACCGCAGAGTCCTGGCCTGATGATGTTGATCTTCTGTGCTGGGCCATCCTTTTGGCCAGTGGCTGTTTAGTTTCCCCGATGTAAGACTGATCACCCTCCTGACACTGAACAGCATACACAACATTACTCTGTTTGTGCCGGGGGACTGGATCTTTGGGATGAACCAGTCTTTGCCGTAATGTATTTTGGGGTTTAAAAGCCACTGGGACGTTATGTTTAGAAAATAAACATCTCAGTTTCTCTGATACTCCCTCAACATATGGAATGACCACTGGTCTGGGTCTGGGTTCCTCCTTTTCACCTGTTGGCTGACTGGAGTCCTGTTTGGGTTTCTTCTCTGCTTTCAGGAAGGCCCAGTTAGGATATCCACATTGCTCTAGAGCCTGTCTTGTGTGGGATTTCTCCTTCTGCCTGGCTCCTGAGCTAGTGGGGACGCTGTCTGCTCTGTGATACAGAGTCCTGATGACTCCTAACTTGTGCT